CCACCCTTCAATTAACCCCACATGTGTTTATCAGCCAGGTTGGCACAATAAACTAACTACCTCACCACCTCACCGAGGTCCTCCCTCTTTTGTGCGGACCCTCTGCTTTACCAGCATGCTGTCCTTTCCCAGGGACTGGCCTCTGCGGATAACACGGCTGAAGCATGTGAGATGAAGTCTCACCATCCTTCCAAGGAGCATTCTGGCTGCACGTCTTCCGAGACAGGTTGCTCTTTCTCCACATTTTCTCTTTCCACAGGCTGGTTTGCTTTCCAGCAGTCTATGGTATTTTCAACGTTCTTCGCCAGCACCGTAATTCAAATGCATCCATTCTTCTTCAAGTCTGCCTTTCACACGCATATGAGGCGGATGAAAATACTGTGGTTTGGATTAGGCACATCTGAATCCTTAAAGTGACATCCTTGCTCCTCAACACTTTAAAGAGCTCGTGGGCAGCAGATTTGCCCAAGCCAATACATCGTTTGGGATCTTAATGGCTGCTTCCCCGGGCACCGATTGTAGAGCCAAGCAAAATGAAATCCCTGACAACTTCAATCTTTTGTCCATTGATGGTGATGATATCTATTGAGCCAGTTGTGAACATGCTTGTTTCCCTCACCTTGAGCTGCAACAACACAGGCAGAAGCAGTGGGGGTCAGAGTGGAGGAGGAAGAGGTGAGGGCAGCCAAGATGACTGAAGTGTGAGCAGTCTCCTCTCTCCACCTGTTGGTGGATGGATCTGCGCACTCATATTTCCCAGGTACGAGCTTCGCAGTGGCATGGCTTCTCACAGGGTAGGCACATGCGCAGCTTTAGTAGAGAGTACCAACACTTTTCCAAACCAATGATTGTATTGGTTTTCACTCTCACCTGTAATATTGGGGAGTTCCAGGTGCTTCACACCCTGACAAGCATTTTCAGATGTTTACCAGTCATTTGAGTTTCATCTTTGGGGGCTACCTTATAAATTTCAATACACATCCCCTAGGCCCTTCTCTCTGTTATACTCTTATCGTGTAATCTTCACACAGAGATAAATATGTACCATAGTGGCAATAAGAAACTAGTATGATGTTTAAGCTGTCAAATTATGTATACACCAGGTTCACTGGGGTAGAGCCTTTTTCTTCAAAACCATTTTATTGGGAGTTAATACAGCTCTCTTATCAAACCATGGTTCAACCACATCCAGCAGCGTTGTACAGTGGCCACCACAGCCAGTTTCAAAACATTCTTTTCCTTCTTGAACTCCATAACGCCAGCTCCCCTGTACCACCCCCCCTCCCCAACCACCACCACTGTACCCTGGAAGCCCTTATTCTACTTGCTGCGCCTATAGGTTCATCATGGGTGGATGCTTTTGATTCTTTCCTGCCACGTTTCCATAGAGGATCATTTTCATTAAACTTTCAAAAACTTCCAGTGTCTCCACAGCGTTGCTCACCTGGAGATGAATGGCCTCGGGTTCTTTGGTCCACAAATGTCTTCATTTCACCTGCATATGTGGAAGATGCTTTCACTGAGCATCTGATTCTAAGAAGGATATCTGGTGGCACTGTGGTTAGAAACGGGGCCACTAACTACAAGGTCAGAGGTTCAAGTCCACCAATCATGAGGCTGCCTGTTGGCACAAAGGCATACAGTCTTGCAAAGTCTAAGGAACTCTTTCTTGTAGGTTTTCATGAGTCAGAATGAACTCTATAAGCGTGGCTTTGCATCTTTGGTTTGGTATAATTCTAGATTGAGGGTTTTTTGTTTTGTTTTTCCTTTCGGCACTTAAAGATGTCATTCTATTAACTCCTGATATCCATATTTCCTCGAGAAGTCAGTTGTTAAACTGACTGTTTTTCCTTTGAATGTTATACCTTTTGTCCCCTTTTGGCTACTTTTAAGGTTCTCCCGCCCCCATCCCCCAATTTGGGTTTTAGCAGTTCAAAGTATGCATAACTTCTTTTAAAAATTATTTATCCAGATTTCCCCCTACATACCACATCCAGTATTTAAAAAAACTCTTTTGACTCTATGCTTTAAGTATATTCAAAATCTGATGTTTTCTCATCACTCTGTCATCACCACCATTGGTCTAAGCCACCATCACCCCCACCTGAAAAATTGCAAGAGTCTCCCATCTGGTCTCTCTGCTCCTACCTTGATGCTCTATAGATTCTGCTCAATTCAGCAGCCACAGAGATCCTTTTCAAACCTAAGTCAGATCATCTTACTCTACTCAAAACCTTCGGTGACTTCTTCTCACCCGACGGAAAAGCCGAAGTCCTTATGATGTCCTACAGTGTTCCATGCGACCTCGTTCATGTGACCTCTGTGATTTCGTGTCAACCACTTCTTCTGGCTGGTCTGGCTCCAGCTACACTGGCCTTCTTTCCATTTCTTGAACATGCAAATCTTCCCCAGGACCTTTGCATCGGGTGTTCCTTCCACCTTCGGTGATCTTTCCCCAAATATCTATGTTGGTTAATGTGCCCTCTCCTTGAAGCCTGGACTCAGATGTTGTCCTTACTGAGGTGTTCCATGAGCAAGCATCTGTGTTAAACGACTGCCTTCCCATGCCGCATACTCGCCACATGCATCCTCCTTCTTCTTCTTGCCCGTAGCCCTGTCGGCTCATGGCATGCTATGCAAATTACTTACTTTTCAGCTGCCTCCCCAACCTCATATTAGAAAACCATCTCTACCAGCGCTGCTATTTTTATGTTTTGTTCATTAATGTATGTCGACAAAGTGCCTAGAAGTGTTCCCGCAACAGAGAGGCAGCCTAATAAGAACTGGCTGAACGAATGGGCAACTTAAGGGGAGCAGACATCTGTATTCCCGGTTAAAGCATCAAGACCAGAACGTTGTTTCCCTTCCTGTGGGTGGACACACATGCACTTATGTACCCCTCATGACACAGGTTAGGAAGCTCAGTATAAGAAAGCCCCTGAACGATCTGTCACGCCCTCAGAGATGTTTAGGTCCCATCTCCATCTGTGCCCAAACCCCTTCCTTCCGTATAGCTCAGTGCAGTGTGGGGAGAAGGAGCAATCTGACGCACGCACTGTGCACACAAAGACGTGAATGACTAATACCCCTAACCCGTTGAAGGGCATTTAAAGTGGCAACTGGGTCATTCAGTTGACTACTATAAAAGGTAATACAAATGGACACTAGCCACCCAGACAGCTCCAGGGCTGGCCTTGAACTCTCCATTCTGCCATAGACAACCCCCTCCCCCAGCCCCGTGTCTTTTTTCCCCCCTATGTTTTTTCCCCCATCTAAAACACAGGCATAGTAATTCTTGTCCCGCCGGCCTTAAGTGTACAAAGACTATTATAGACTAAGGAACTTTCTAGTGGAAAGGGATCTCACAGATTATCAAGAGACTTTTATATTTTGCTTTTGGATGATGCTTTACAGTTTCCACCTCATTTTCAGTTAAACTGTCTCATAAGTCAGCCACAGGTCTTTATTTCATTTCATAGGAATGAACCTTGGGACTTATGGGAGGGTAGGTGATTTGCCCAGGGGTCTGTGGGATATTAGAAGCAGATCCGTGGCATCGCTGGCTCTGTGTTCTCCATCATTCTCCTTGTAGAAGCAGCTTGCTCACTCATTCACTGCCACCCAGTCCATTCTGACTCATGGAGAACTTGTAGGACAGAGTAGAAGGTCCCTTGTGGGACCTTCTTTTACAGAAGGAGAAAGCCTCATCTTTCTCCAGACGGGCAGCTGGTGGTTTCAAACTGCAGACCTTGCAGTTAGCAGCATAACGCACAACCACTGTGACATGAGGGCTCCCCTACCACCAGCTAGAAGGCCCTGTAGCCAAAAGTCAACTGGTTCTTGAGTGCACACCTCCAGTGCCATGCAAGAAAGCTCACTTCCTCCCTAGCAGGATTGCTTTCGCAGTTAGCTGCCCTCTGAGTTAGTGTGTTACATTGAGAAGGTGGTTATTAACGCTGTTACCCTGATGTGTGCTTGAGAGGAGAGAAATTTATTGAGCTATTCAGAGAGGATGGATATTCATGGCCAGAAGGGTCTAGCTATAAAACGAATCCCGTCATGTCACTTCCCTACTTGGGGCCCTTCAAAGGCTTCTGGGTTCCTTGAGAGGGGCTCTTCACCTCCCAGGAGCTGGGTTCAGCCACAGACCTCCTCTCCACCACACACACATACACACCCTGCTGCTCCTTCCTGAAGCAAGTTCCCTGGGCCTGGGACAACCTTCACCTCCCTGCCCCACCCCCACGGCCTGCTCTCAAGGTCTACCAAAGGCCTGCACGCTGGATGGCATGCATTCTTCTGCCTGCCACATCTCCCCAGCCCGAGCACTTACTGGGAAGGGGCCCCGTCTACAGGATCCCTCTGGCAGCCCCACCTCGGCTCCCTTACACAGGTCTCAGCGGCGCTCCTCATTCAGAGGAGGAGACGGTTAAACCATCCAGCGGGCCTCGGACCAGCCTTGGCCCAGTGTTTAACCAGATGATCCAAAGCTGTTCTCAGCTCAGCCCAGCTGGGACTTTCTTAGAACAAAGGCCTGCCCCTCCCCTACCCCTAAGGTCTTCCCTTCCCTGCTTCTGGAATTGAGAAGGTCGAAGCTGGGGTGGGGGTGGGGGTGGGGTGTAGAGAGAGAGGGGGAAGACCCTGGTCCACCTCAGCCCAGGCTCAATGCGCAGCCCTGGTAGAGACCTTCCCATGCCTGCCTTGGGACCCCCATCTGTGCACAGTGGGGGCAGATCTGGATGGTCCCAAGGATTGCACCTCATAGGACCAGCCAAGAGAGGGCATCCCCAGACTCCAGTACCCCTTAGCGAGGGCTCCTGTCGTAGCTGGACGAGGCAGGGGCAGGTGAATCTTTAACTCGCCGCCCCGCAGGCTGGAGGCTTTCCGGATGGCTGGCTGCCTGGGATGAGGGGGCTGGAAGGCTGTGAGGGGGGCGTGGCCAGTCCCCCGTGGGTTGAAGGCGGGGGCCCAGGCGGGGCTAGCCAAGTGGGGACCAGCAGGCCATGGAGGAGCGCGGGTCTCCAGACGGGTAAGCGGAGCTCCGGGAGGTTAGGGCGTCCCGAAGGGGGGTGGTTCCCCCATTGGGGAGGTGCTGGGTGCGGGGATAGTCACTGGCACGCTGCTACAGGGACCCCGCACGGAGCCAGGAGCTGGGACTGGAAGGGCCGGAAACGCCCATCCAGGTGGTGCTCAGGTAGGTGCAGCTTGGCTTGGAGAGGCGGGGGAAGTCGGAAACCGACGGAAAGATCGGTGTGACCATCCGCCTGCACGCCGATCCCCAGGGTGCGTCCCATGAGCGCAGCCGAGTTGCGTCGAGGGGAACCGAGTGCGCTGCACTGCTCCGGGGCCCGGACCCTGCAGGTGAGGGAACATCTACCCGCCAGGGGCCCAAACCGAACCACCTAGGTACCCGAGGGCCCCGCCCCGATGGCCCCTCCCCCTCCTTCTTTTCCCTCCCCCTTTCCTAGGTGAGCCCCCCGGGCGGTGGCCCAGAAGTGGCGTTCCGCTTTGGCGCCGTGCTGGACGGGGCACGCACACAGGAGGAAGTGTTCCGGGCATGCGGTGTGCGGCGCCTGGGCGAGCTGGCGCTGCGCGGGTGAGTGGGGTGGCCCCAGACTGCCGCCCTGCCCCGGCCCCCGCCCCGATCCCCGCCCGGCCCAACCATGCCCCTGCCGCCCGCAGCTTCTCCTGCACCATCTTCACCTTTGGCCAGACCGGCTCGGGCAAGACTTACACGCTGACTGGACCCCCTCCCCAGGTGAGCTGACCGCAACTGGGGTAGGGTGGGTGCCCGGGGGTCAGGAATCAGTGGGGTGGAAACTCCGGGGAGACACTGGGAGCGCAGACTCCCTGGACAATGGATTTCTGAGACCTTAGAGTAAAAAGCCCGGTGTTTCTGCCGCGGAGCTGCTGGAGGCTTCAAACTGCCAACCATGTGGATCACAGCCCAACACGTAACCACTATGCCACCGCTTATTTGATGACCCAGAAAATGAGAAGCAGGGAAGGTGAGGGACTAGTCCAGTGTGGAACTGGGACTTTGCATCCCATAAGCCTTGGGTTCCCGTTGTGGTCCCTCTACTTACTGGGTCTCAGTTTCTTGTCTGTAGAATGGAGCGAATAGTAGCTAGTGGAAGAATTAGATGAGCCCGCCAGCTAGCATCAGGAGCCCCGGTGGCTTAGAGGTTATGCGTTTGGCTGCTAACTGGAGGTTAGCCGATCCGAATCCCTAGCAGCTTCTCCAAAGAGAAAGATGAGGCTTTCTACTCCTGTTACAGGTTAGTCTCAGAAACCCACATGGGGTCTTTCTACTCTACCGACTCCGTTGGGTCAATATCTAGGCGGCAGTGAGTGCACGGCCCTGGACACAGTGCGGGCTAGTAAGTGCTTTCCCAGAGAGAGAGCAGTTACTGCATTGCTGTGGATGCTGCTAGCCCCACCCCAGGCTCAGTTCTTCTTGCCCGCAGGGGGAGGGGTTGCCTGCACCCCCTGACCTGGCGGGCATCATGCAGAGGACCTTTGCCTGGCTGTTGGACCATGTGCAGCATTTGGCCACCCCTGTCACCCTCCAAGCCTCCTACCTGGAGATCTACAATGAGCAGGTAGGAAGGAGGGTGAAGTCAGGATCGTGAGGGGGCGGGGCTTCAAATAAGCTCTGCAGTGGGCACTGCATAGACTGAGAGGGCTCTCCCCTTGCCCTCCACCCTGTCACCTCCCAGGTTCAGGACTTGCTGAGCCTGGGGTCTCCCAAGCCCCTGCCTGTTCGTTGGACCAAGACAAGGGGCTTCTACGTGGAGCAACTGCGTGTGGTGGAGATTGGCAGTCTGGAAACCCTGATGGAACTTCTGCAAATAGGTGTGTGCACTCTCAGGGGAGCTTCGGGGTGCGTTCCCTGAGTGTGGAGCTGGGGATTCAGAGAAGGCCTGGGGGGAAGGGACCAGCCAGCAGCAAGTCACACCCTGTTCTGCCACCCACACTCCTCTGGAGCCTAAACCTGTGCCTCAGTCACCCTCATCCTTGCTCACATAGCTCCCTACCTCCAGGCTCTCCCCTTTTCACCCATTCTCCATGCAGCGAACGGTGCCCTTCCACTGCCCCAGCAGCTTCTCTGGCTACACTAACAGGAGACAGACCCCGCCCACACGGCTCTGCCACTGCTGCCTCGTTCAGTGATTCATCAAATCTTTACTGAGCACCCGCTGCGTGGCAGGCCCTGCGGATGCTAGGACTTCCCATTGTGGCCCAGGCATTGTGCCAAGCTGGCTGGCTGATGACTGCCTCTGCCTCTCCCCTTCGGTCCACACAGTAGGAGAGGTGGTTATAAAACCTGGCTCTGTTGGCATTCTCCTGCTTAAATCACTCCATTCCTCTCTCTGCACCATGGGCCAGACCCAACAGCTCACCGTTTGCAGAACCAACACCCTTTTTCTACCTCGGCCTTTGCACAGGCTGTACCCTCTATCAGGAGGCCATTGCTGCTTTTTCTCTGTGGGCGACTGACTGGCTGCCCTGCCTGCCAGCCCCACCTCCTGACGCGTTCCCCTCCAGGTCTGCGCAGGCGCAGGAGCTCTGCACACACCCTGAACCAGGCTTCCAGCCGAAGCCACGCCCTGTTCACCCTCTACATCTACAGGAAGACTGGAAGCCCCCAGCTCAGGAACGAGGCTGACCCACAGGTACCCGGCAAGGGCTACCTCGGAATGTCTAATCCAACTCGGGCTTGAGTGAGAGGAAGTGAGGGGGACCCTCGGCCTTGTCATTGTATGACTTTGATGGGGAGAGCTCTTCCCCAAGACCCACCAAGCCCTGACTGACCCTCCGGTCCCCGCAGATGCCTCCTATGTACCCCGGGGAAGCCCCTGGCTGTGGGAAGCTGTGCTTTGTGGACCTGGCTGGCAGTGAGAAGGTGGCGGCCACCGGATCCCGCGGGGAGCTCATGCTTGAGGCCAACAGCATCAACCGCAGCCTGCTGGCCCTCAGTGAGACCCGTTTCCTGTCGAGGGCAGGGAGGTCAGGGGAGCTGCCGCGCAGGGAGCAGGGTAAAGGGCTGTGATCCAGGAGTCAGGCCCAGCTCTGGCCCTGGGTCTGCTATGAATCCTCTTTCACGGCGTGGGAATCACTAACCCAGAAGAAAAAAGCCCCAAAACACCTGCTGCTGCTGTTCTGTCAGCTCGGTCTCCCAGCAACTTTATGGGCGCAGACAGCCTCAGCTTGCTCCCATAGAGCAGCTGGTGGGTTTGAACTGCCTAACCTCTGGTTAGTGGTCCAATGCGTACCTGACAGTGATACCGGGGCTCCTGTTTATACCCCCCAAGGACCTTCCATAAACCCAAAGGGTGTCTAAGGTGACCCAGTTTGGGAGATGGGACCACTTGATTCAGGGTCTGAGCCTCAGAGATGTCCAGCCTGTCCCTTGTGCCATTGGGAAGACAGGTCCAAGATGAACAGGAACCGGACCTGTCCCCCACACCATCCCAGCTACCAATTTATGGGACTTTGAGACCCCCAAGGGCAGAGTCCTGGCCCATTTCTCTAAATGGCTTAGAGAAATGTAAGCCATTTTTCTGTGGCTTCGATGGGAAGATGTTCAGGAAACCTCTCGCCACTCAGTCCAGTTGTTAGATTTGTCCATCAGGAGTGGACAGGGGTGTCTGCGCCCTGGAGAAATGGCAGGATAGGGCGGCTCCCGCTCCTGGAGTGGAGCATGTGGAGTGGGTGGGCTGGGGGAGTCTCACAGACCTGGGTGCGAGCTGGGCTCCGAGTGTGCCAGCTGGGTGGCTTCCCACTAGCCCTGTAACCTTTGTGGTCCTCGATCTCCCTGCTCAGGTCATTGCATTTCCCTGCTGCTGGACCCCCAGCGGAAGCAGAGCCACATCCCTTTCCGGGACAGCAAGCTCACCAAACTGCTGGCTGACTCACTGGGGGGACGTGGGGTCACTTTAATGGTACCCAAGGGGCCTTGCAGGGAGGACTGTGGCCTAAGGGAGGGGCTCCCTAAGAGGCACACTAAGGGTAGCCCCCATCACTACCTCCCGCCAACACACAGGTGGCCTGTGTGTCCCCCTCTGCCCGGTGCCTTCCTGAGACTCTTAGCACCCTTCGGTATGCCAGCCGAGCCCAGCGGGTCACCACGCGGCCACAGGTCCCCAAGGTGAGCGGAGGAGGTACAGCAGAGAGTTGGAGGCGCGGGAGGGGGCCTCCAAGGTCAGGAAGGGGTGAAATCCTGAGTTACGTGTCACAGCCAAAGTCAGGCACTAGGTTAGGGCTGGTCTTTGGGGTGGGAGCCTAGAGATAGGGTCCTAGTGGGTAAGGTGAGGTGGGAGTGGTCAGGGTCATGGGCAGGGTTAGTTAGGGTTCTATCCTGGGTCTAGCCAGGATCCAGCTGCTGTCATGGTTAAATCTAAGTTGGGCCGATGTCTGATGTGGGATCTTATTTAGGACCGTAACCTGAGCCAAGGTTTGTAGACAGAGTGCATTTGGGATTTGATGGTCTGCGACCTTGATGCAGTGTCTGAGGGCACCGCCTCTGGGCGGGTGCTGTCTTGAGTCAGGATGCAAGGCTGATGAGTGGGACTTAGGCTGGGGGTACTCACTCCTACACCCAGAAGCCCTTGTGTGCACGGCCTGTCCGCCCACCACGGCGGCTCTGGGCGTCTCTCCCCAGAGTCCTGCAGCAAGGCAGTCCCAGCGTGTGGACACGGAGGTGCTGCAGCTCCGGGAGGAGACCCGTCACCGTCACCTGCGGGCCCAGCTGGACCAAGGGGACTTCAAAGGTCTGACCTTCCCAGAACTGGTGTGGGATGCAGGCAGAGTTTGATCGTGCTACCTGTGATCGTGCCACACACACTTCTCTCTCTCTCTCTCTCTCTCTCTTTCTCTCTCTCTCTCTCTCTTCCCTGCAGCCTCCAGGCTCAGTGGGACCCGAGCGGCCTGGGCCCAGCAGAACCTCTATGGGATGCTACAGGAGTTCATGCTGGAAAATGAGAGGCTCAGGTAGGACCCAGCCCTCCCCTCGGCTCGGTACTCTGCCCTGCACCCCCTTGCTACTGGACTGCTCCCACCAGGCTGCCTCCTGGCCTTTCCTCAGCTCTCTGTGTCCCCGCCTGCCTCTCGGGCCTAGACTTTGCCACACCCAGGAGGAACTGACCCTACCAGCCTGCCTCCTGTCACCTCCTGGGGCCTGCTTTTCCCAGGAAAGAGAAGAGCCAGCTGCAGAGAAGCCGGGACCTGGCCCGGGATGGGCAGCAAGCCCTGGCCCAGCAGGTGCTCGAGCTGGAGAGGTGAGTGCAGCTATCTACCGGGAGGTGGGCCCTGGGGTGGGAGGTGGGCAGGAGAGCTGAGGTCTACTCCAGTGGTTCCTCTGGAGCCAGACCACCTGGGTTCACACTCCAGTTTGTGACCCACTGGCCATGGGACCCAGCAAGCCATCTCTCATCACCTCCATGTCCTCTTCTGAGAAATGGGGGTGATCCGGGGCTCACCTCACAGGTGTGTCTGAGACCAGATTTGAGTAAGTCCATCACGGCTCTGGCACCCATCGGTGTTCTGGGGGTGCTTACGAGTAAAGGGGAGCTGGGGGCTGGCCAGGGTATGGGGCTGGGGGCTGCAGGTACAGACCTTGCCATTCTTTCCAGGCGCCTCCTTTCCGCTAGCTACCCTCACCAGCCGGGACCCTGCCCCATGATGCCAGCTGTCCCCTGCCACGTGAGTGTCACCACGGCCCACAGACCAAGGGGCGGGACTTCACAGGAGCCTCTGACACCTCCTCTCATAGGCACTGCCTCCCCTCTGCGCCTGGCCCTGCTGCCACCTCTGCCCCCTATGCCGAGCGCCTCTGGCCCCCTGGGCCTGCCCTCGGAGGGAAACTCACCTGCCCCAGGTAGGAGATGCCAATTTGGAGGGAAGGATGGGAGAGCTGGAGAACCGGGGGCCAGTCATCTGGGGGTCTCCAGCAGCCTTCCAGGATCCAGGGTCCAGGCTGAGTGGGGGGTGGGGTAGGGGCAGGGAGGGAACACTGGCCATGGCCTCTTGGGCCTGGGCTTGGAGAGGCTACTGTGAGGCATTGGAGATGAGCCGGACAAGCTCCCTGCCCCCAGGGTGTCCCCAGTCTCTGGAGGAGGGACCCAGCCAGCCACACATGACCTGTCGCTTTGTGACCCTGGGGGGCAGGCACAGTTAGGCTGGAGGGGACGCGGGGGTGAATGGCCCGGGGGACCAGGGGTGAGGTCTCCAGAAGCAACTGGTCTCTCCCACAGATGTTTGGTTCTGAGGCCCTGTCCAGTGACCCCCTATCTGCCAGGCCCCCACCCTGGGCACCACCTCGAAGCTCTGCCTCCACCAAGTGCCCCAGAGAGAGGTGGGCCCAGCCTGGGGCAGGGGGCTTGGGGACTTGGGTCACTGGAAGACTCACCCCCACCCCCATCTGACCCTGGTCCAGGACTCACTCTGACTGGACTGAGACCCGAGACCTGGCAGAGATCCTGACCAAGGAAGAGGTGGTCCCATCGGCCCCGCCCCTGCCCGTGGGCCCCCCTAGCTCATCGCCAGTGCTGAGAGGTGAGAGAGGGAGACAGGGAGGCACCCCAAGTGGTCTGACACCCATTCTCCCTAACACACCTTCCTATCTCTAAAGAGGGGTGGGCATAGAGAGGTGACCCCTAAGACCTTTGCTAGTTCCCAAACTAGGGCCCCTTGTGCCCAGGGTGGTAGGGGGCAGTGGAGCCCCTTGGGCCAGGGGACAGGTCTGAGGAGGGCAGGCCACCCTATGTGCCTTCTTTGCAGCTGGGCTCCCCAGCCTGGCGCGGAGACTGGAGGCCCTCCGAGGCCAGATCAGCAGCTCCCTGCGCCTCGGAAGGGGCCAACCACCCCCACAAGAGGGTGTCCGGGCTCCCAGCCACATCCTCCCTCCCTGCTGAGCATCAAGTGGAGACCCTGGAAACTGCTGAGTGACCTAGGGCTGGGCTCTGCCATCTCCCCATCTGTCACTCTCCCCGTCTGTCAAGTGGGACGGGCCTGCTGCTGCACCTACAGCTGTCCACCAGGGCTGGGCTGGTGGCACAAAGGAGGGCTGCTGCCCCAGACCGCGGGCAGTGAGCAGGCTCCCGGGGAGCCAGGCAGCAGGTGCTGGTGGACACAGGTGAATAAAGAGGTGTGAGCTCCGTGTCCAGCTGTCTGGTCATCCGCTGTCACCATGATGTCCCTGTGGGAGAGATCTAAGGGGAGATGGGGCTTGGGGCACATGTAAGAGGGAAGAGGTGTGAGTCCCCCTTCTGATCCAGAAGATCCCCAGTACCCAGCCAAATGCGCACAAATCTGAATGGAGCAACTGCTCGGGGCTCCTGGTCTGGTTTGGGGGAGGACAGTGGTGCATATCCCCACAAAGAAGGCTTGAGTCAGCCTCAAGCCAGGACAGACAGTCCCCAATGAACAGTTACTCTTGTGAAAGGCCGCAGGTCCCTTTGGGGAAGGCTAGAAGAAAGACTAACAGTATAG